GTTGAATTCGAAATTAAAACGAAAAATATAAAGAAGAAGTCCAAAATGCATTAAAATAGTCATTTTAAGAAAGCACAAAAGAAAGTACAAGTACTTTAGTACTTTAACCTTACATAACCGATGCATAAGTAGAGGTGAAACAAAAAAACATAAGTAGAGTGCAAACACAAAGTACACATTAGAGAGTTTCAAAAGCAATAATTAAACAGTTGATGGCTGGTCGGGTTAGGTGGAAGATGTGGTGACTGGTCCAGGAGGTTGTGCGGTGGTCGGTGCAGTGACTGGTTCGGTGGTTGGAGTGTTGTCTGGTTGTTCACTCATGAATGCTGCAAGGCGGGGATCAGAGTTCTTCAAGAATGTAATGAGCCTCTCCATTTCAGCGATACGTTCTTGATCACGTCGATGCTCCTCATCACGTCGAGCTTGGTCACGGCGAATCTCCTCATCACGTTGAGCTTGGTCGCGGCGAATCTCTTCATCACGTCGAGCAATGCTCTCTTCCTACGCAAGAATTTTAAGACGAGATGCTTCAAGTTGTTCATGGATTTCTGAAAGCGAGTCTGCTAGAGAGCTTGCATAGCTCTCTTTCCTTTTCCCTTTGCAGACCATCTCAGTTAGTACCCCAAGTCCAAATGGGTTCCCCTTGGAATCAGTGTGAGTACACTAAAATAACAAAAAACCTGAGTAAGATAGTCCACAAAATATAGGCAGTGAGATGAAAATAAATAGTTCATAATTGTGCAAAACAACCAAGTGCATCTATCCTATTGATTCTAAACCACAGACACAATGATTCAGTACATATATTTACCTATCAGAATGAATAATTAGAGAATGATTCTTAACCAACAACAGGAAGATTGACAACAAGAAGCTCACANATGAACACAAAGACCTAATTGATACAGTTACAGTCCATAAGCATTGAATCACTACTCAAGCATCAGAAAAATTACTCTGTTGATAAGCCAAAACCAAAACAGAAGAATGGAAAATTATGAGAAACCAAATTGACAACTCTGTTGATGAGAAACCAAAACAGAATAATGCAAAATTCAGATAACACTTGATAAGCATATACATAAAGCAATACCAGAGAGAAAAAGATATGCAATTGTATGGTTAGAAAGAAAAATACCTTGAGGAATATCGCATCCTTTTCATCGATGGTCAGGGTCCGTTGAGTAGAATTTTGAGAAGAATTCTCAGGGCCATCCGGATCATCCTCAGACATAACTTCTTGTAACTACTTCTCATATGCCTCAGCAACTTGTTGCGCTTTGTAATCAACAAAGGTTTCATCTTCTTTTGTATATGTATCCAAAAACACTTCTCCAAATGATACGGAACGACCATATTCCGCCTCCTGTAATGATACAAAAATATGTTAGTGTAGATATGCAGTTTGTAAGTAGACATGAAGTATAAACGAATTACCATTTCACGTCGAACTCTCAAGTAGGATTTCTACCCAGAAACATGCTTTGCGATTCCTAGACCACCACGATCAGAGTTGCGGCACTGTGAAGCAGTAGAACTCCTCGCAATTGACTCAGGAGTGTTCCAATGTTGCCACATTAAAGCCCAAAGCGTAGGTGTGATCTAAATTGGCCTTTGACCACTGTTCTTAGCTTGACTAACTATGCCTCTCATTCGTTTTGTGGCAATCGTCATAAAATACTTCCTCACAATCGGTGTAATCCCAATATCCCAGTTGTACCTCCGCTACAAAATGAGTTTTTGTATTAGTAGTGATATGTTTTAAGAGTACAACTTAAATATAAAGGAAGCATTACTCTAAATCATTACCGCAAAAGTTCTAAAATAGTGTTCATGTACGTGAATCGGCGTAACTTTCCAGCTATAGTAAAGACCATCAAACATACGCCGAAATATTCCAGAAATAACACGACTCAATTCACCATCGTCCCGAGTAAACCTTATACATTAATATGAACATATGGTTAAAAAACAGAATGAGAACACAATATTGATGATGTATCAACACACAAATACAGTAAAGCCCAGAAGATACGAATACAATGAGGTAAACAGATAGAATGATGCAATAGAAGACCATGATCAGAGTATCATATTACCAACATCATGCTTTATCTCTATTTCTTTTGTTAGACTTATATTTGTTCAAAGCTTTATCTCTAAACAGATACAATGGGCTAAACAGATATAATGATGCATTTAGAAGACCATGATTAGAGAATTATATTACCAACATCATGCTTTATCTCTATATCTTTTGTTAGACTGATAAAGTTTGAAGCTTTATCTCTAGACATATACAATGGTTAGTTCATGCTTTATCTCTATAAAATAAGGCAACTCAGCAGTTCTCTAACTATCATGGTCAGTTCATTAAACGCAACAGGTCATTAAACAACTACAGAGTTAAGAACATTACCATGTCGTCTTCACGTTGGGGATTGGATGCTCAGACAACCGAACAAGCTGCTCTCGACCAGGACGATGCATTTGGTCATCCAACAGCTGTTCAAAGTCTAGTGCCTCTGGGTTGGGAGCTTCAACCTCATCTTCTTCCTCGAAATCAAGATAATGGTCGGGAAACTGACCATTGTATTCTTCTTGCTCGGGAATGGGATCTTCTAGAAGGAACGACTCAACAACTTGCACAAGAGGAGGAGGTTGATGAATCTGGATCGGAGATTGGAATTGACGGGCTGTCGGTGGTTGTGTCGATGGTGGATACTATGCCGGAAGACTGGTTCTACAGGCAGAAACTGTATTCTGAGATGAAGATGGGTTAGAAGAATGGGATGATGCACCTTCAGTCTGTCGGCCGTTTGCTCTGACCGTGGATGTGACATCTCTGCCTGAGGTTTCAGTAGGTCGGCCATTTGCTCTAACCGTGGATGTGACATCTCGGCCTGAAGTTTTAGTAGGTCGGCCGTTTGCTCCAGGACCACCGACTGTAGGTCTAACTGCTTTGTTGTTGGCCCCACGACCACCGACAGCTCCGGCGTTGACTCCAGCCCTAAAGGCGGCTGTAGATGTTGAACCTGGGCGGTTGG